TAATAAGAAATAGTGTGTAAAATATGTAATAACAAATAGTGTGTAAAACATGTAATAAGAAATAGTGTGTAAAATATGTAATAAGAAATAGTGTGTAAAATATGTAATAAGAAATAGTGTGTAAAATATGTAATAACAAATAGTGTGTAAAACATGTAATAACAAATAGTGTGTAAAATATGTAATAAGAAATAGTGTGTAAAATATATAATAACAAATAGTGTGTACAATATATAATAACAAATAGTGTGTAAAATATGTAATAAGAAATAGTGTGTAAAATATGTAATAAGAAATAGTGTGTAAAATATATAATAACAAATAGTGTGTAAAATATGTAATAAGAAATAGTGTGTAAAATATATAATAACAAATAGTGTGTACAATATATAATAACAAATAGTGTGTAAAATATGTAATAACAAATAGTGTGTAAAATATGTAATAAGAAATAGTGTGTAAAATATATAATAACAAATAGTGTGTACAATATATAATAACAAATAGTGTGTAAAACATGTAATAAGAAATAGTGTGTAAAATATGTAATAACAAATAGTGTGTAAAATATATAATAACAAATAGTGTGTACAATATATAATAACAAATAGTGTGTAAAACATGTAATAAGAAATAGTGTGTAAAATATGTAATAAGAAATAGTGTGTACAATATATAATAACAAATAGTGTGTAAAATATGTAATAACAAATAGTGTGTAAAATATGTAATAACAAATAGTGTGTAAGATATGTAATAACAAATAGTGTGTAAAATATGTAATAAGAAATAGTGTGTAAAATATGTAATAAGAAATAGTGTGTAAAATATGTAATAAGAACTTATGGGTGAAGAAAGCGTAATAACTCCGAGCCGAAATTGTTAATTTGTTGAAATTCTTCTACTACTAATATGCTTCTCGAACAATCAAATGATTTATTCAGTATTCCGATTGTCAGATCTTTTCAAGTCTAACGAACAGGGAATTATGTCGTCAGATTTTTCAACCATATCATGTGCCTTCTTTTTCTCAGAACACACCTGGGAATAAGTTTGGCCACCTTGGATACGAAAAGGTTTGTCTTGGTCTTGAAAAAATCTGGACAAATTGACATCTAACGGTGACCTTCTCATTAAAATCACTCGAGTATGCAACATTATCCAGGTGGAGGGGTGGAAAAAGAAGAAAGGAATGCGTCGTAAACTCTCACACTTCAGCAGCAAGCACGTGGAAGTTGTT